ACCAGCAGCGCCGTCCTTCAATATTTGTCACATATATGAGTATGTATAGAAAACTAATTGAACGCTTTAGAACTCGATTTCGTTTAGTTGCGTGTGTGCATACCGTTTCAAATAATTTCATAAAAATTCGCTGTAAGAAATCTGTAGATAACAATTTCTAGTTGATTGGATACAGCTTTACGTATTTGCTCATTTACAGTCGATTTTCTTTTCGAATTGATTCGTTGAGATTGCATATGATGGCGCTATGTGCATTTACATGCTATTGTCTCTCAATTGGAAATAATTGTGAGTTCATGAACGGAAGCATAGGCACCATTTGGGTTTTGCTTATTTTGATATCGTTCATTGTGCGCTAACGCTCTTTCATTTTTATAATTTATTTCTCTCAATTGCTCCATTCAACAGTCCCTGTTTCATGTGTGTGCATAATGGTCTTGAAATATTTCAAGGACATTAAACGTTCTTCAAACAATAATAATGGGAACAGATTTGTAATAGTCTTACACTGCGATTGGAAATGCGATAAGCTAAATACTAATCGAAGATTGCATACTTTTTGGAGACTATTAAAAATTGTATACTTAAAATGCGTTATCTTAGCTGCTGATGTTTATTTAATATCTTAATTAAAATTGAGAAACTCAGATGAAATGTTTCAAGTAAACAAAAATATATCAACATATTGAGAAGAGTTACTGAAAATTCCTTTAATTTATTTATGTTTTTCATATAATGTGTACTTGTTGTACCCTACATTAGTTTTAATAAATGTTACGTTACCATATATAAATGTAACATGTAAAATGATTCGAAATAGACTTATCTTTTTCTATACCAAACTATATATTTAATAATTTTGCCTGTCCGTCTCATATCATATTCAACCGACCGATTGCAATTTTCGAAATATTTTAATAAGAAAATGAGAAGCTACTGAAAACAGTATTGAACGGACCTAATAACGCATCCTTATTCGAAAAAGCGATAATGTGGAAAACCTTCTGTAATTTTTGGTTTTTTCGCAGCCAAAGCATTTTAGTATATTAAATAAACGGAATTACGTTTTGAAACTCATTTTTATAACTATTTCTACAAAAATATAAACGTTTATGCCAAATAACGATTTAACATATAATTCTATTGTGATAAATTCGGTTTTTATACGGCTATGTTTTGGATGCCCCTTCGTGTAAAAACTCCTATGAATTTCGCGTGACGTCAAGTGTCCCTCAAGACAGCCACTTAAGAGCCTTTCTTTTTGTCCTGTACACCAATGATCTCCAATGGATGATTATGTCCAACCATATCTAAATCTAGGTCAATGATGTTAAGATGATCTCCTATTTTAACGGGAAATCGCACTCCTATCTCCTTGACGACATCGTTCTGATTTAATTTTATAACCTTAAAGCTAAGAAGTTAGTAAGAGGAATAAACTCATTCATTTTGTAAAAGGAATAAACTTTCTACTGACTATATTATCGTTTCACGTAAACTGGAAGAAGTTTCTTTCATTGACTTGGAATTTTTGCCGACCAAAGGCCACATCTCAATCAGCCTCCTCTTAATAAAGCTAGAATAGCTCTAGAATTTATTAGGCGGTGGTGCGGAGAGGTCGATGATTCATGCGTTACTAAAAGTTTATACATGAGCCTCATAAGATCAATACTTGAACATTCCTCGGTTTCCTTGTTTTATTTAACAAAGTCCAGAAGTAATTCTTGCTTGGGATCCTTAAAAACCTTCGTTTGGAAGCCATTTATCTCTTTGCTTTTTATGAAAGCCGATTAACAAGTTTTGTAAGCCCTACCGCCTCCTGAGAAACGTAGATCTATTCTTGCTATATCCTCCTTAGTTAAGTACTATTGACTCGTTGGTATTGCTAGGTCTTCAACTAAACTGCACTGTTTCTAACCATTATTCTGAAAATGCTAAAACAGATTTGTCCTCATGATGTTCCTTCAATAAAAAAAAAAGAATCCAGGAGTAAATGTTATACGAAGAGTTCAAAATGAAGAAGCTAAATGCTTGACTTTCCCTAAACGGCTATCGAACGTTGACTAGTATGGAAAATGTCAGCAAAAACAAAAAAAAATATATTATTGGAAAATCATTGTTTCACCTTAAGCGAGATGTTTTATTAGTTCTCCTTCTACGTTGCGTTTAAAGTAACAGTCCATTTAGCATGTAATCAACTCGCCAAAAAGTAAAAGGTTTTCTGATTAGAAACGAAATTTTAACTTATACTTAAGATCATAAAAAATTCGCTTTGACGCTCAAGCGAACTAACTGCACATTTGTCAAATGTAAAGGCAAAAGCAACGCTCGATCTTTTAAATATTTAAACTATTATGTTAATGTATAATATGTTCGTATTAATTTCTTTAATAAAAAAAAAAAAAAAA